AGAAGATGGCCCACTTAGAAAATATCAATTTCAAGCAATATTAAATTATATCAGTTACTATTCACTTGTAACCTTTTATAATTATTCCAGACCTCTAAAATTACATTTTTCTTCATGAAAAATCCTATTTTAATATAATAAGGTATTCTGAAAATTTTTAGAATTTTTCTCCACCTTTAACTATTCATTTTGAATTTCCTCTTAATAGGGCTTTATTAGTAAGACTTTTGAAAATAAATTTTTTAAAATTAATTCCTGCACTTCCAGAGCTTGAAATCAATTTTATAAACTCAATTAAATATTTAGATAATTATTTTATATTTTTCTAAAATTATTGAGGCCTCTAAATAATTATAAGAATTATTTTCGCTCAATTTCTACTATTTTTTTCCCAAAAAACCTTTGTTTTCAGGAAATTCTATAATAAGTTATTTTCATACTATTTTCACTTCCAAGGCCTCAAATGAGATTCCAAAACCTCTAGTTTACCTTTTTACCATTTTTTGAAAATTTTTTAGAATTTTTCTCAAATTTTTTCATTTTATCCTTCTTAGATCAATAATTTTGAAAATATCGATCCAGACCTTTTTTGGATCTTGTATCATGTCTGGCTTCCTCAGCTGGTCTTCTTTTCCTATTGGCCCTTAATTTAATTTTTCATCCCTCTTATCAATGTTAAATTTTGTGGGATGTGACAAACAACAGTGGGGACCGTGAGCTTTAACAGTAAAAAGTTAAAAACAATCATGCGATGGAAATGGTTTTAAAATTCTAATAGACTTTTTAAGAACTTTTTTTTTAAAAAATCACCGTAAAAAATACCATCATGAAAAGTGAAATGTCCTTTCATATAATTGTAAAAATGCCATTGCCATTTTTTTCACAGCATTTTGCCAGATAACCACTGTAATTAGCATCATAAAAACTCTTTTTTGTAGTAGTGTGGCTTCAATACTTCTTTATAAGATAATGGCTCCACAGGATGGCCAAAGAATTCCATATCGTCATCCGTCTTCTAGGGTTCTTCTCAGTCTGCCAGGGGGACCTCTCCTGTGAGCTGACCTTCTCCATGTTGCATCCTCTTTTTTTTTTTTCCCTTCCCATCTCTCTTGCCACAATCTAACTCAAAGCTAGATAAGACAAAGAAATCATAGTTCCCTCTCTATTCTTTGTACTCATGATGCTATTTGGCAATCCCTAAATGCTAACCGAACCACCCTAGGGGTAATTTGGAAGCTGTTTTGGGGGCCCAAGATTGGCTAACATATTACTCAGTCTCTCAAAGCTTCTCTCTCCACTTTTCTCTCTCTTCCCCTTTACAAACTGAAGTTTAACAGTACTTGAAAAACACTCTCCCTTAATTCTAGTAATTTAACAACTCTAAATCAACAAAAGACATTTATACAATCAAACTCTCTCTTATAAGAGCTAATAAATGAACATTAAAGTATGAGGAATGTTCTTAGTAGAGTAATAAATTCTGTAAAATGTTACCACATTTAATTCTATCGAATGGCTTCTGCTACATGGAATGTTCTCCTCTACTTAAAAATTGATCAAATGATTGGATGTTAAAGACATTCCTCTTATCAATTGGACTAATGATCTGAAAGAAACTTAAAACAAATAGCTACATTAAATGCTTATGACATTTGAGGTGATTTTCAACATTCTCTTCTCATATGATATTCAATCTTGCTTAATCAATTGGAATATATGTAATAGTAAATAGCATAAAAGTATAAGATCTCATAATTGACTTGAAGATGATTTTGTGATCAAAGAGATGTAGAGATCACTTAAATTAGAATATCTCAAGAAAAAATTCAGATAAGATTTGAACTTAAAAAAGTTCTTTAAATTGAAGAGCTTATCCCCATATATAGTTGAGTGTGTTTGGTATATATATGTGCATGAAAGACGATTCGCTTGAATAGAAATGATTAGTATTCAAATAATACTGCATTTATGATTGAGATCAAAGTGAACATTCTAACTCAAATAGAAAAAGAATACTAAGAAACAAAAAATTGGACCGAACATTAAATGGTTCCAGCTAGTGGTTTAAGGGTTAGTGAGTTAGATCTGGTCAACTTGAGATCAAAATATAAGAAAATACAATAATAGTTTGTTTATAACAATAACAAAGTATATCAACATTGAGAATATTTATCTTCATGATTCACCTAACTAAAATTAATGATCATTGGCACCAAAATCATCATTAAAATTCATTCAGATCTATAGTGACTAAGATATTAAGAGTTGAATGGGAAAAAATAAAACTAATAACAATATAATCATTTAAACCAAAAGATAATTCCAGTCATCCAATACACATGATTGGAAAGCGTAGTTTAGGGAGACCAACATACATTCATGTAAAATAACCAATTTAACTAATTTTCTTAATATTTCCAAATTAATTATGGTACTCTAATCTTAAGGATCAAAGCCTTTGATTCAAAGGTGTTACATATGATTAATTTTGATGATGTCAAATATTAGAGCAAGACATTTGCATCAAATGCTTATCTCATGCTTTGACTAACTAGTAAACATAATGTGATTATCTTATGTAGTTTGGTCAACAGGAGAAAGGATTTATCATGAGATTGATTCAAAAGAAGAAGTACAGAGATAAAAGAAATAAGAACTTGCAAGATCAAATTGGAAGTTATATCAACATACCTTGAATTGCCCCTCATCTAAGCTCAAACATAACCTTCAAAGATGACTTTCACATGTGTTTCTCAAGTACATTTTTGAGTTCTATGTTTCTCCAACACGTTATCGAGAAACCACATACTATATTATGCTTTGTTCTTCATCCAACTCTAACATATGTTTAGTATTTCTACAATATCTCTAAACTGCAAATCCGTTTGAGGTGAAACTTAATTCATATGAAACTAGACTTAGAACACGGTTTTTGGATGCTAAGATCAATATGGATGCTAAGATCAACTCCAATGACTTCATATGAAGGAGATATGCTACTTGAAATTTGCTACTAAGATTCACACCTTGTCCCTAACCTTTAGTCACTATAATGGAGATAACTTTGAAATTACAATAAATTTTGGAGTGGAATTTCTTCTGTTGGAAAGTAGACTCAAAGAGCTTTCTGGTAATAGTCATTCACAATATTTGGACTTGAATTGAAAGATTTATGATCACTCAAAGTTGACCTTCATTCTGTTTGCAATAGAGTTAAAGTGTCAAAGACCAGAAGTTCTATTTTCTACTTCATACTTGAACAAGTTATCAAGCAAAAGCATTATCAAGTCAGTTATTGAGCAAAATAATATTTCTTAATTAGTTTTCTCTATTACATATTCGTGAATTAATCTTCCCGAATATATACTTGAGAAGCTTTCTATGTTTTGCTAAACTACTTTGAACAATTTTCTCAAATATATATTCAAGAATTGGTCTTCTCGAATATATATTCAAAAAGTTCTCTATATTTTGTTTGAATAGTTTTTTCCAATACATATTCAAGAAAGCTATCTCTTGAAGAACATCTGAGTATTCTTTGATCCTTTTTGAAGATGAACTTATTTGATTTTATTTCACTTCTCGCTTAAAATTGTTTTATAAAATCTCTCACTTCTTTCTTTAAGTATCTTAAGTTCACAGATAATATAAGCAAAGAAGTTTCAAAAGACGATTGAAGGTTAAGAGCTTCAACGGAAAAATGATGCTGAAAAAGCAAAAGAATCTGACAACATTAAATGCTAACTCAATCTACACAAGATGCCAACATCTCCAACTACTTCTACGATGGTAACTTCATCTCAAGTCTAGCAGATAGTTGATGAGGCTCAACTATAAATAGATGAAGCATACAATGGAGCAAGAAGAGAAGAGAACGAACAACTATGTAGAAAAATCTATTACTCTCTGTGCTTTGTTCTCATTAAGTTTATCTATCGAGTTTTAGAGTTCATTTAATACTCTTTGTGAAAGACATATTTAAACTTGTATTACTCTTCTAAGAGTTGCTTAAGATTGTGGGAATCTTGAGGGGATTGTAACCTTATAAGGGAGTGATTGAGAGTGACTGTATTGAGGTGTCAAGAGCCCAATTTAAATCTTGGGGATTAGTGGAACTCTCAGAGGTGTTCTGAGGACTGAATGTAGGTCAAGTAGTTAACACCGAACCAGTATAAATCTGCTATGTGCTTCTTTCTTCATTTTCTCCTTCAATGATATTTTTTTAACTCAAGCTTATTTCATTTTCTTGATTGATTTTGAGTAAAATTTTTTAGGAACACCTAATTCACCCCCTCTTAGGTGTACTACTATACTAACAAATGGTAGAATTTTTTAAATACATCCAACACTCTGATCTTATTTATAATACAGTTAATACCTTAAAATTATTTTTTTTAAACTTCTAGTACCCTAATATTCTTTATAGTGCGTCCACCGTTGTAAAACATTAATAAGATTAAGATGCGAGATATAACTAAAAAATAATATTAGGTTGAACTAGGGGTGAATCAATTAAAACTAGTGAAAGTCAGTGTGAATAATTATGTTACTATTGGTTCTATTTTTACTCATTCAACTCCTAATACGATATATTTGAATGATTAATGATGATTTTGGTATTAGTAATGATTAATTTTATTTATTGAAGAATTATAAAAATAGACATTGTTAATATTATTGTACTTTATTATTGTTATAATCAAATTTTGTTATATTTCCTTATATTTTGTTATTATAATTAGAGATTATCAATATTATTATATTTTGTTATTTTTAATTAAATTATATATTTTAATATGACTTGTTTGATTTCGAGTTAATTTCAGTCTAACTCATGTTCCTTGAAAAGAATAAATGAAATAGAAATACTTTAAAAAAAAAAAAAAAACTTTATAAAAGCATCCTATTCCGAGCTGACACTCGGAAGCAAAACGAATCATGAAAGCCAGCGTTCATTCGCAGATCATTAATCATATTCGGAACCTAAAGCCTAAAACTATTGTTTTTATATTTTTAAAAAGGAAAAAGATTATTTTCAGTCAGAAACCTCTCGCTGTTTCCTCTAGGGTTGGGAAGCAGCAGTTTGTCAATCTGCTTGAATTTTAATCATCGAGGCAGAAACAACCTCTCAATTTTGTGCCTCGACCTCACAAAAATGGGTGGATCAGTGAAAGATGTGCAATCAAAGGCGGAGCTTGATAATCTCATTCGCACTGGTGCACCAGTCATCCTTCATTTCTGGGCCTCGTGGTGTGATGCTTCTAAGCATATGGACCAAGTCTTCTCCCACTTGTCTACTGATTTCCCTCATGCAAATTTCTTCAGGGTTCGATTATGTCTTTGCCCCTCAATTTTTCTTTTGAAGGTCTTTATTATTTCTATTATGTCTAATTCGTTTTTCTCCCATTTGTTTTAGGTTGAAGCTGAAGAGCAGCCGGAGATATCTGAGGCGTATTCGGTTTCTGCTGTGCCTTACTTTGTCTTCTGCAAGGTACGGTGTTTGGAGTGCCATTTTATTCGTAAATTTTGTTTGTGATCTGGTGGGTCGGCAATTTGCGGACGGTGGTCTGTGAGCCGTTGCATAAGTTTTGTTTTGTTTTGTTTTTTTTCTTTTGCTTTTTTAATTATAGAGTTCATAAAATGGAAATGGGAAAATAACTCCATTCATATGATCGTTATCCACAGTATAGTGTAAGTATCTCAGCTGGATGTTCTGAGGTACATGTCATGGGTGGCATGGGTCGGCATTGGAGCATGATCTCCCTAGGCTTAGAGTAAAAGTTGATGCAAGAGGAAGGTTTTCATGGAACATTAAAACCGAAACTGTCTATTCTTTGTGATTTAGTGAGAGGCGCTTCAGAAGATACATATTACGATATATCCACACACACACACAACTCAAACAGAAATACATGATGCTTATATGTTCAGTCCATTTCCCTTTCGGCTCTATGAGCGAAGTATACCTTAAGAGTTTAGGACAAGGAAAACGGTTCAACTTGCACTTAAGCTCTGTTTCAGGTAAACTCTGTTAAATTCGCACGTGTTTGGTTTTTAGTAACGCTCAGTTTGGCTTCTTCTTCTTCTATTATTCAGAATCTCGTATTATTTAGCACACTTTTCCGTCATTACTATGCCTCTACCATCTCATAGTTGAAGAAAAATGCTTTCCAAAAGTGTTTCATTCTGCTCTGCAGCGAACAGTACTTTAGAAGCCTTCATATCAACCCTCCATTAAAATGCAGCAAGCCTCCTTGGTCCTCACATTGCTGCTATGCACATTTTCTTGGCCCAGCCCCTGATTTCAAGATCTTTGTTCAATTTTCACTTTTAAATTGTGATCCAGTGTTTTGGTTATGTGTGGATTTCATTTTAACGTGAATATGCAATAAAAACTCTTCATTTACTTGGCGCTTTGATGTTGATATATGTACAACTAGTGTTATAGTTTGTCCTCAAAAAATACTTCTTTCTTTGTTTTATGATTCATTTTAGGTTTTATTTTCAGTTAATAAATATTGATATAGTTTCTCCATCAGCTATTGTTAATCCATATGAACTTTTACTGGTTTATAGGTTAACTTTTCTTGTCACTAGCATACTTAAACTTGGAATATGGATAAACCCTATTTACAGAGGTTAGAAAGGAGACAGAAAGAGGTCTAGGCAATAATTAGTTGATGCACTCTTATTCAGCACATTTTTAATTTCAATCTCACGAGTTTCTGATATGTATGCTTAAATTCAGATCTAATTATTTGCTAAGTGTTTAAGTTTACATGCTAAATGGATTCTGGACTTCTGACTTGTGAGTCTAAAAAATTTGACAAAAGTTTGTTTAAAAAAATTATACTCCATATAAATCGACTTGTTTCTTGTGAGAATTTTGCGGCGTTTCCATCTTTTGATTATGATCTTTGATCTTTACAGCTGACTATGAAGTAACATCCCAAACATTTAGCAGTTTATATGAATATTTTGCTTGATTAGTATGATAACCATATATTGTTATTGTCAAATATTTACATTACATTCACATATGATTTTTCTTTTCCTTAAGTTTTGTGCATTTTTACCTTGAGGCTGTAGCATGTAATGGGTGGTTTTTGCCTTTGATTGCTTTGGTTAGAAATAATGGCACCTTTTCTTAACAAGGAGAGTATGTTTATATAAAGATTCATTTGTGCATGTGTAGCATACGTGGCCTGTAGATCAAAGTGGGGTGAATGTGTAGTCACCAATTTTCCAGAGTTTCACTAGTTATGTAGTTTTTTGATGTCTTACTTTACCTGCTGTTGAGTTCTATAGGAAACCTTAGATGGCCTAGCAAAGCCATTTCCCTTTTGCCAATATGTGAATTATTCATGGCATGGTTAGTGTTGTATTTAATAGTACCATGACTTGTGAGTTTTGAGAGGAAATTTCCTGTACTTGAGTATTTTCTCTGTCCAATCATTGTGTATAAATTATAAGGATTGTTATAAAATAGATAGGTGTGCATGCTCGTTTGCTGCGCTAGACTGAGGGAACATTCTAGGACGGGTTCCATAATTCCATTAAGTTGATGTGTATACTAAACAGGGGAGACAATGTCATATTGGTTAAGTTAGATGAGTTGTGGTCTATATTTCTTAGCTTTTAGTGATCTATTATAATTATTTAATTTTTATTTTTCTTTTTTTATTAAAATAAAAGAGAAATCCACATGCATTGAGGCATTATATCAGTTTTGTTGGAATTATAATATCTTTTGAGTTGTTAAACTTCCTCTCAATTTTTGCTGATTTGCTCTTTGTATTTTAACCCTTGTTACTATGAAAGGGCACCTGTTACCTGGTTTTCCAAGTTTCAATAGTTGACAGAAATTCTTTTCCTGTCAGGATGGCAAGACCTTCGATAAATTAGAGGGCGCAGATCCGTCAAGTTTGGCCAATAAGGTTGCTAGAGTTGCAGGTTCAATTAATCCTGGAGATGCTGCTTCTCCTGCTAGCCTTGGGTTAGCTGCAGGCCCCACTGTTCTTGAAACAGTGAAAGAAATGGCAAGGGAAAATGGATCTCCAAAGGGAACAAGTAAAGTGCAACCAGGGCTTAGGGATACTTTAAAAAAGCGATTGCAGCAGCTCATTGACTCTCAACCTGTTATGCTGTTCATGAAAGGGAGCCCTGAGGAGCCCAGATGCGGATTCAGCAAAAAAGTTGTTGAAATTTTGAACAAGGAGAAGGTCGAGTTTGGAAGTTTTGACATCCTGTCGGACAATGAGGTTCGTGAGGGCTTGAAGAAATTTTCCAACTGGCCCACATATCCCCAACTATACTGCAAAGGAGAGCTTCTGGGTGGTTGTGACATAGTAATTGCTATGCATGAGAGTGGTGAATTGAAGGATGTGTTCAAAGATCATGGAATTGATACTAATACAGAGGGAAAAGTAACGGAATCAGGTAACTCGAAGGGGGGCATATCAGAATCAACTGGCTTAAGTACAATGTTAACTTCCCGACTAGAAAGCCTAATAAACTCAAGCCCTGTTATGCTGTTTATGAAAGGAAAACCTGACGAACCAAAGTGTGGTTTCAGCAGAAAGGTTGTCGAAATTCTCCAGCAGGAAAATGTCCCCTTCCAGAGTTTTGACATTCTTGCTGATGAAGAAGTCCGTCAAGGACTTAAAGTTCATTCAAACTGGTCTAGCTACCCCCAACTTTATATCAAGGGTGAACTTATTGGCGGATCAGACATCGTGTTGGAGATGCAAAAAAGTGGAGAACTCAAGAAGGTCTTACATGAAAAAGGTGTTCCAGAAGCATCGATTGAAGACCGCCTGAAAAAACTGATAGCTTCCTCACCCGTAATGCTGTTCATGAAGGGCACTCCAGATGCTCCGAGATGTGGCTTTAGCTCCAAAGTTGTTGATGCACTGCGAGCTGAGGGTGTAAGTTTTGGTTCCTTTGATATACTAACTGATGAGGAGGTGAGGCAGGGATTGAAGGTGTTCTCAAATTGGCCAACCTTTCCTCAACTGTACTACAAAGGTGAGCTGATTGGTGGCTGCGATATTGTGATGGAGCTGCGAAACAATGGTGAACTTAAGTCTTCTCTATCTGAGTAGGATTAGTGCAATAACACCAAATAACTGGGAACATTTGGTAGGAGCCATTATAGCTGCGTGTATTGAATTGAGTCTCATGACGATTTTGATCGTGGTTCCAGCATTATTGACGCTATAATGTTCTATGTTTGCATAGCACTTGTAAATGGTTGTCATATTTTAAGCATGCCAACTGTTATTGTGGATCTATCTACATGAGCAAGCTATATGCCTTCCTGGATGATCTTTTACCACAAGCTTCTTCAGAAGCGGCTTTCCTCCACCGAGTGGAGAGGAGAGGCTGCTCCAACTGTAGACTGCTGGATTGAGTTTAATTATTCAGATTTGATGAATTTTTAAAATATATATTAATCTATACCATCAAAATTTGATCCGGATGGTTCAATACTGCAATAGAGATGTAGTGAAGAGAAATAATGTTCTAATTTTTTTTTACTAGGTTTATCCCGCGCTTAAGTTCTTCTAAGTAAAGACTTTTTTCTACAAGAAAATTTATGCTTCCTTTCACTTAGAAAAAAGTTACTGAAATCTTTTATCTCTTGTACTGTTCTAGAAATGGATAAGGAAGTAATTATAAGAGCAGCCGGAATTACTTTCATTAAGGGGGAAAAAAAGGGTTGGCGGTCTGATGCAAGAATTGCTCATAATGGTGTGAAAGAAACTGAAAAAGTATATAAATAATAATTTTTTAGGGATAATGATAGGAAAAAAAACCCGAAAATTTATTAAATGATGGAGAGATGCTGTGAAATTGCAAAATTTCCATGAGGTGTCAGATCCCAAAATTTTTCAGGCCAAAAGATTTTTTTTTATTTTAAAGTTTTTCCAACCTTTTTATCGAATTCAAAGGTGTGAAGCAGTAATAAATCGATTTAAATGATTATATTGTTATTTGTTTTATTTTTTTCATACAACTCTTAATATCTCAATCACTATAGATTTAAATGAATTTTAATAATAATTTTGATATCAATGATTATTAATTTTAGTTATTGAAGAATCATAAGAAAAAACATTTTCAATGTTTTGGTATTTTGTTATTATTATAATCAAACTGTTGTTGCATTTTCTTGAATTTTGTTATTAGTGATTATTAATGTTGTTGTGTTTTATTATTTTCAATTAAATTATACTATTTTAATATTATCTGTTTGATTCTGAGTTGAGCCCAGTCTTACTCACTAACCCTTAAGCAACTACCTCGATCGGCTTAGTATCTGATTTGATTTTTTGTTCCTTGATTGAATCAACTAGTGGGAGGATAACTATTCACCAAATTTCATTAGCCATTAATAATTTTCGTTTAACAATTAACATGATCACTCTTTTTTGTTATTAGCAACTTTTGTTTAACTATTAACAAGGCCATTTTGTCAGTTTATTGATGACTTTTGTTTAATTATTTTACTATATTCCATTAGCTAACAAATTTTGTTTAGCAATTAACAAGCCAACTCTTTAAGGTCATTGGCAACTTTTCTTTGGCTATTTATTATATTTTTTTTGGTAATAGGCTATTTATTATATTTAATTAGCTATTAACAACTTTTTCTTAGTATTTAACAATCACATTTTATAAATTGCAAACTTGTTAAAAGAAATAAATGAGTCCTTTGACTTCAAATTATTCACTACTTTTATTAATAAAAGGCCTCATTTAATTAAGAATCAAGTCTGAAATTTTTTTAAAAAAAAAAACATGATTGTCAATGTGAAGCAAAAGTTGCCAATAACTAGCAACATAGTGAATAGCTCAACAGAAATTGTTAATAACCTGAAAAAGCGACCTTGTTAATTGCTAATCTTTTACAGTAAATAGCCAATGAGGTGCAGTGAACAATTGAATAAACATTGTTAATAAATAATAAAATGTAATTAATAGCTAATTAAGAGTTATGAATGACCTACAGTCAAAGTGATCCTCATATCACCTTGGAAGTCAAATTAAATTTAATTTAGAATTCAGCAAGTGATGCAAATCAAAGTCTTTCTTATTGGAACCAAAATTGACTAGGTTCTACATTAACTAAAATCAAAATTACTATTTAAAATGGGGTTTTGTTGATTTTTCTAATTTAAAATCTATTTTGCAAAAGAAATTGAAAACTTTTTCTAAATACTTTTTTTAAAGAATTTTCTTTTATGAAAATAAAATGAAAAGGTATATTGGAATTAAAAAGGAAAGAAATTTGATTAAAAGATATAACAATTGAAATGAATTCCTTTCAAAGCTTTAAATCGTGCCTTTCTTGCTTCAAAAGATATAATAGAGTTTTAATTTCCAAATCAACCAATTAGTTTAAGTAAATACTTAAACTTAGATTGATTAACCTGTTAATGACCCATTTAACTAAAAGAGTTCATAACAAAATTAACAACCCTCATTAAGTCCCACTAGAAGGGATTAACAGCTATGCACATTCAAAACCCAACAATCTCATCATTGTGAGATCGAACCAGCAGGCAGCAGCTTAACCTAACAGATTAACATTAAACCAACTCAATCTAATGTCAAACAACCAGGTTAAGAATTAAACAATGCAAACTAAGTGCACAACTATCAAACTCAACATTCAAATCCCAAATTACACTACAACTGTAATGTAACAACTCCAAAATCAAAATCTAATCATCTAACTAAGATAATCAAAGTATAAAACTAGAACTGGAGATATAAATGTAATAAAAACTCCCTAATTAGATTGCTCCAAGCTTTGTCCCAGCTCTCTGCTTCAAGAGGGATTTCACACTCAGCTGCTCCTGGTAATTTGAGTTGCTCCATTGAGCTCTTTCAACTTTTCAATCACCATTGTAGCAACTACGAACTGGAAGAAGTGGAGAGTGGAGGATGCGATAGTGAAATAGAAAGAAATGAAGGTCGTGTTCTTCCTCTGTCATCCGCCTCCCTCGTTTTGTCTCTCGCAAAGAAAAATATAAACAAATTATACTTGTACCCTAATTTGAAATTTATGACTTTTTCTAGTTTATCTCTTCGATTCTCTAGGTTCTCAATTATCTTTTCCACTTTCAGCTTTGAATTTTAAGTTTTCTATAGTAAAATCTAAGATAGTGTAACATCATATTTTTTCAAAAATCAATCAATTAGAATAAATCATTAAAATATGATATTTTTGCTCTTTTTAGCTCTATTTTCATTCAATCATTTTTAGTTCAAGTTAATCACAATTAACACATTTGAGCCCAATAAATGTGATAAAATCCTCAAATAAGATATAAAAAATCATGATAAAATAAGGAATTGTCACAAAACTAAGAAATTAATTTATATATTATTGAAAAAATTAGGGATAAATCCTTGTTTGAAAAATTAATTGAGTAATGGTACTTGAAACATTTTGGTCCTTGAGTGTAATTAATTATAGTAGGAAAAAGACAAAATTACTCTAATTGCATATTGTTGGTCTAAAGTTGTATATCACTGATTTTAATTGCATATTATAGACGCATAGTTAGATATGGGACCTTATTGCACATCATGGAATCTAATTGCATATCGTTAATCAAAACTTTCATATTACTGATTCTAATTACATATTGTGGATGCCTAGTTGCATATGGAATCTTATTACATATCACATATCCTAATTGCTTAGCATTGATCCAAAGTTGAATATTGGTAATTCTAATTGTATATAAGGATGACTAATTGCATATGGGTTGCATATTAATGATTTTCGTTATTGAATTTGGTGTTAATGGTCACTGTGGCAGCTATTGACAGTGGCAAAGCTCTGTAGACTAAGGCAATAAGGAGTTTTCAATGGGTTGAGATTTCCTAATAATATGCAAGTATCTTCCATAAAACGCAAGTGTTTTTCATAATATGCAAATCACCTCTCTTATATGCAAATACCTTTCCATAATGTGCAAAACTGCAAATCACCTTCCCTAATGTACAAATTCTGTAATGTTAATTTGTAGATATGAATATGTTTTAGTGCTGCAGAGAGGAATTTGTTTATGTAAATAGTAATACATATATATGCAATTATAATTACCAATATACAAGTTTGGACCAATGATACGCAATTAGGATTTGTGATATGCAATAAAGTCCCATATAAAACTATACATCCGCAGTATACAATTAGGATCAACCATATGCAACTTTGGATCAACAATATGCAATTAGGATAATTTGATATTTCTCCTAATACAATTAATTACATTCAAGGGCCTAAATGTTTCAAGTACCATTGCCCAATTAATTTTTCAAACCTGGATTTATACCCAATTTCTCTTATATTATTTTGTATTATAATGTTGATAAAATTTGGTGGCTTAATAGTCACCTATAATCTTATGATGGAGGTGGTTGTGGGATCGAATCCCTCTTTCACCACTTTTCTAATAAAACTAAGACTTCCTCCCACCGATAGCTAGCTTGCTGGAGCTGTAACATCCCAATTTTTTTTTAATTAGGGGCTTAAAATGAAAATAGTGCCCTTAAAAGGATATAGGATTAAACAATATGCTTAAAAAATAGGACAACAAATTAAATAAGAGAGAAATTAAATTATTTAGTTGCTTCTATATAAAACAAATGAATCAATAAACTTGAGAGTTTTAAAAGTCATAAACACAAAGAACATAATCATAATAATGTTGTGTATCTCTCTATAAGAGAAGACAGCAAAAAATTACACATAGGCACATTGTATATGTATATTTGAGGGGGAAAAAATAGAGACAATCAAATGTCAAGAAGATTATAAAATTTGGTAAATCTTAAATAATTCATAAAGACTTGTCAAAAAGTAACTGTGTTTAATTGTAATATATTCATTGATGAAATAAATGTAAATATATATGTATATGTAATTTTAAACAAATATTAAGTAAAGAGTACACAAAGAAACAATTGGTTTATACAAATCTATATATTATCTAGGAGATGATTAAATAAAATTTATTTTTAGGTAAATAGTAATTAAAAGGGAAAATTTTAGAAAAAGAATCTCAAAATTATCATTTTCCAATTCAGGCACCTAAGAGTTAAAAATGACGGAGAAGGAAATGGCACCTCATCTGGTATTTTACAAATATAGTTAAATAACTAAAATGCCCTTGTATCATATTTGGAAAAAAAAAAAAGGATATCAAGCTTGTCATTACTAGTTCACAATCTTTTAATAAATAACTTGTCATTACTAATACATTTTTCAGTATTTGCTATTTAACACTTGTCATTACCAATTTAGAACTTGTTAATAAACTTTTTGGTATAAGGACATTTAGTCATTTAACTGCATTTGTAAAATACCAAATTAGGCACCACTTCCTTCTCTGTCATTTTCAACTTTCAGGTGCCTAATTTATA